CGATTGGCACAGGACAGAGCAGAATTTAGGGCTGTTGTACATAGGGTCGCTATGAGTCGCAAGCGACTCGATGGCAGATAACAACAACAACAACAACAACAACGTCTTCAAAGGCCATGGTCTGGCAGAATGGTGTCTAGGGACTCGCACTAATTCAAAGGCCGTGCCTCTCTGGCTACTGCTCCCACAAAGCTCTGTGGGAGAAAGATAAGCAATCTCTTCCAGCACAACTTAGAGCCTCTGAAAAAACCTGCTAGAGGGTGAGTTACAAGCCCAGCAAGGAGTTGCTTGAAGACTTCAAGTATAACATAAACAATTTATGTAAAATTTAGACATTGATCTATGCTCAAATGTCTACAAATATGTTCATCAACACTTTTTTTAGGGGATATAGACTTTTAAAGAAAAAAATTTTTTAAAAATTGTTTTGTTTCTTACCTGCAAATTTAGGGTTTTGAACAATAAAGAGAAATATTTACAATGAAAATTATTCTTAGAAAAAATTTAAAATCTCAGAGCAGATTCTTTTAAATTTTACTTGTTAATCAAGTGAATGCTATAGTTGGGTGTGTTTTGAAGGATAATCTCTAAGGGGTACTAAAGGGAAATGTTCCTCAAATTGGAGGTTATCTCTATGAGAATTGCCTGACGCTTAACCACATTGCATTTTAAGGTTCTTTTCTCATGGATAAGGAGTGGGGATGGGGGGGGGAATCTTGTGGTGTAATTTATTGTGCTTCTCAGACAGTTCAAATTCACTAGCAGCTCCCTGAGAGGAAGATGGGCAATCTACTCTCCTTAAGATTTACAACCTCAGAAAGCCAACAGCAGGTCGTTAGCAGCCAAAATGGACTAGATGGCCATGATGGCTGTGAGTTTCTCATTAGAAGGAGGCTGCTCTGGTAGCTTAGTGCCTTACATGCTGAGCTGCTAACCAAAAGGTTGGCCGTTTGATTCTACCAGCCACTCCGTGAAATGAGGATGATCAGGGGGAAAAGATATATAGCCTCAGAAAGTCAGTGGAATACCACCATGGGTTGGGGTTTGGTTTTTGGTGTTTCCCACCACTGCCCTACTCAAAAGGAAGCTCTAGAGGCCTGGAGGTAAGGAGTAGTGCTGCCAACTTAAAGGCACACGGTTCAAATCCACCAGCAGCTCCAAGGGAGAAAGATAAGCAATCTCCTCCCATGTAAATTTGTTGTTGTTGTTGTTGTTACGTGCCATTGAGTCACTTGCGACTCATAGCGACCCTATGTACAACAGCCCTAAACTCCGCTCTGTCCTGTGCCAATCGCACTGTCTCTGACACTCCCATTCCAATTGCCCCAGTCACTGAATCAATCCACCTCATAGAGGGCCTTCCTCTCCTGCGCTGTCCCTCCACCCTCCCAAGCATGATGTCCCTCTCTAAGGACCGGTCTCCCTCAGAATCCTTGCCTCCAAGGAGCCACCCGGTTTAACCCTTTCCAGGACAAATCTGTTTGTTTTCCTAGCAGTCCATCATGTAAATTGACTGCCTCTGAAAACTTGCCAGAATGTCAGCTATGAGTCAGTTCTGACTCAATGGCACACAACAACAACCCTACCCAACTAAACCTATTCAATTAGAATCTCAGGTATTAGAATCTACATGGATTTCAAACACTGCTAGAAAATTTTATGTTACACTTGGTCTGGGAATCACTGCTCAGGAGAAGATAAAGCTGAAGGGCTATCATGTTCACCTCAATCGTTGACATTAATATTCATATTTTTATTTCTTTCCACTTCTTTTCCTACAATCTACAGAACCTGAAATTAAGATGTGCTAGAGGTATTATGGGACTGGAATCCAGGTGCTGAGTATTCTGAAGCAGCCTGTGGTTGCTGTGGCACTGATGTGCCAAATGTGATAATGGTTACCCATGGTGGACAGTGTTTGGTGGAGCTCCCTGATTAAAACAAGCTTGGAAGCAGGAGTGGCATTCATTTCCAATATAGCCTGCCTCCAGAAACTCTATGAACATGAAGAAACGATGAAAGTGTTCGAGTCTTTCATTTATAGGGTCATTAGAAGTTGTCTACGACTCGACCGCACTTTAAACAACAGCAACAGTTGTATTATAGAGATTAAAATACTTAAGGAAATCCATTGAAAATATGGTAGTCATAGCAACTATAAATTCTTTCATCTCAAATTCTGCCTCAATTTACCTGGTTGATGGATTTTTTATGAAGCCAGTGTTTATGAAATTGGGGCAGAGACACGATGTCTTGACTCCAGTTATCTTTAAGCCATCCAGTTCTTCCGTCAGAGCTCTATGAAATCCAACAGCAGCAAACTTACTTGAACTGCAAATAAGAAGGAGAGGTCACAATTCAAGGCAAGAATACAAAGGCATTTGTTTATTCCAAACAAAGGCATTTGTTTATTTCAAACGTCAGTTCTCAACAAAGTGTGGTCCTCTGAAACCTGATGCATCTGTAATTTTCCCTTTTACTTTGCAACATTGTTTCAAATATTTTTCTTATTTATTGTCCACATTAATTTTCCCCCAACAATTACTCTTTCAATTACAATTTCATTTCAAACTAATAACCAGGACTCAGTTCTGCCAAGTGTCCCCATACTGACCCCTACTGAACTTATAAATGGTCTGTATGAATCAACCCAGAGATATTAGTCAAAATTCTACAGCACTTAATTTCTTTTATTAAATTCAAAATATATTTGGACCAAATGAGCCATGATGGTGTAGTGGGTGAGATGCTGGGCTGCTAACTGTTAATGCCAGTGATTTAATCAGACCAGATGTTTGGCAGGAGAAAAATGAGGCAGTGTGCCCCTGTTAATTAAGATTTAGTCTCAGATATCCAGATCGTTGTAAGTTGGAACTGACTTGACAGTGAGGTTTTGGGGTGGTTTTATTTTCTTCCCCAACAAAATACCTTGTGAGTAAGCAGAAGAAAAGATTTTACCATGGAATAAAAGAACAATGCTCCACCACCAAGAATTTAGGTTATTATTGTACTCTTTCCACAGTAATCATGAAAGCTGTTGGACTAAATTTAATAACTCCTTTACTGCAAGGAATTGATTCTTACTTATCAGAACCTTTCATTGGATTCCCATTGGTTTCTGAGCTGAAAATCTTAATAAAAGGAGTTTGCCCGTCTTTTTCCCATGGAGCAGCTGTGTTTTGGCTAGTAGTGTAATAATTATGCCACCAGGATTCAAAATTTTAAAAGGAAACAGCCAAGATAGCTTGCTGTGCCAGCAAACAGTTCAAAGTAATGACATTTAAGAAATCTGGTTTGCAGGGGAAAGCAGGAGGTAATTTTAAGCTTCTTCTAACTTCATTCCAATATTCAGAAGCCTGAGCAAGAATCATCTTAATGTTGTAAACACCCTGAGAAGTAAAAGCGGAGAACTCACAGGACCTAGGATGTGTATATGTGAAACAGAACCAGAAAGTAACACCTTGTGTTGTGGATCGAACCATGTCTTCTTCCTCTAACCTACATGTTATAAGTCTTATCATCATGCTTGAAAATGTGCAGGGCCAGTGAAGGAGAGGAAAATCCCCAATGAGATGGACTGACATGATGACTTCAATGAGCTCTGAGTGTGTCAGAGATGCTGAGGATGGCAAAGGACCAGGCAGGGTTCCGGTCAGCTGTTCACAGGGTTGCCAGTGTCCTACTTGACTTGATGGCACCTAACAACAATAGGTTTGATTTGAATCAATCCACCTCATAGAGGGCCTTCCCCCCCTGTACTGTCCCTCCACCCTCCCAAGCATGATGTCCTTCTCCAAGGACCGGTCTCTCCTCACAACATGTCCAAAGTATGTTAGATGGAGCCTCAGAATCCTTGACTCCAGGGAGCCGCCCAGTTTAACCCTTTCCAGGATGAATCTGTTTTTTTCCCTACAGTCCATGGTACTCTCAGTCCTCTTCTCCAGCACCACAGCTCAAAGGCATCAATTCTCCTTCTATCCTCCTTGGTCATTGTCAAACTCTCTGATGCGTAACAAGTGATTGTAAAGACCTGGCCTGTATCAGATGCACCTTAATCTCCAGAGAGATACCATTGCTCTTCAGTACTTTGGAGAGGTCCCTAACAATATGTCTTTTAATTTTCTGGCTGCTGGTGCCAAGTGTGTTGACTGTGGAGCCAAGCAAACTAAAGCTGTGAACAATCTCATTCTCTTCACCATCCATCCTGATGCTGCCAATTCGCCCAGTGGTGAGAATCTTTGTCTTCTTGACATTGAGCTGTAATTCATATTGGAGGTTGCAGTCCTTGACCCTCTGCAGCAAGTGCTTCAGGTCCTCCTCAGTTTCAGCAAGCAAGGTTGTGTTATCTGCATAACGCAGACTGTTGATAGATCTTCCACCAATCTTGACCCCATATTTCTCCTCATAGAGCCCAGCCTCCCGGATAATCTGTTCTGCATACAGGTTGAAAAGGTATGGAGATAGGATGCATCCCTGGTGTATGCCCATCCCAATTTTGAACTATGAAGTAATCCCTTGCTCTGTTCTGTTGCCTGCCTCCTGGTCCAAGTATAGGTTTCGCATTAGAACAATCAAGTGTTCTGGGATATCCATTCTTCTCAGAGTCAGCCACAGTTTGTTATGATCCATGCAGTCAAACGCCTTTGCATAATCAATGAAACACATTGATAGACATTCCTCTGGTATTCCCTGCTTTCAGCTAAGATCCATCTAACATCAGCTACAATATCCCTAGTACCATGATCCCTTCTAAACCCAGCCTGGACTTCTGGTAGTTCTCTGTTGATGTGCTGTTCCAGTCATTTTTTAATAACCTTCAGTAGAATCTTGCTTGCATGTGAAATTAATGAGACTGTTCTATAGTTTTCACACTCTGTTGGGTCACCCTTCTTTGGGATGGGAACAAATATAGATCTCTTCCAGTCAGTTGGCCAAGTTGTTGTTCTCCAGACTTCTTGGCACAACTTGGTGAGCACATCCAGGGCAGCATCTGTTAGCTGAAATATGTCAACTGGCATACCATCTATTCCTGGAGCCTTATTTTTTGTCATTTCCTTCAAAGAAGCCTGAACTTCTTCTTTCATCACCATAGGCTCTTGCTCCTATGTTGTTTCATTAAATTCTTCTTTGTCAGCCAATTCCTTCCGATACAGTAACTCAGTATATTCTTTCCATCTTCTTTTAATACTTCCTGGATCATTTAATATCCTGCCCAAAACATCCTTGGTTATAGCAACTCGAGGTTTGAATTTGTTCTTCAGTTCCTTGAGCTTAAGAAATGCTGAGCGAGTCCGGCCCTTTTGATTTTCTGACTCCAACTCCTTGCACATTTCATTGTAATATTTTACTTTGTCATCCTGTGCTGCCTTTTGAAATCTTCTATTCAACTCTTTAGTATCTTGAAATCTTCCAGTGGTTTGGCTTCTCTGTGCTCCAGTGCAATTTTCAGAATATCTTCTGATGTCCATTTTGGTCTTTTCTTCCTCTTCTCTCTTTGCAATGACCGTTTGCACTCTTCCTGGATGATACCCTTGATATCCTTCCACAATTCATCTGGTCTTCGCTCATTAGTGTTCAAGGCCTCAAACCTGTTCCTGAGATGATTCTGAAATTCAGGTGGGATAGACTCAAAGTCATATTTTGGTTCCCGTGGATTTGGTTTCATTTTCCTCAACTTCAGAATAGGCCAGCAAGCAACAAACGCTTGTGAGGTTGTGAAGAGATTTGAACTCTTATTCACTGTTCGTGGCAATGTAAAATGGAACAGCCACTATGGAAGATGATTTGGAGCTTTCTCAAAAAGTTGGAAATAGAAATACCATTTGACCCAGCAATTCTACTAAAGAAACCAGAATAATAACATAAACAGATATATACAAACACATGTTTATTGCTCCCTTATTCACAATAGCAAAGAGATGGAAGTAACTCAAGTATCCATCAACAAAGGGAGAGAAAGCTTTGGTACATTCACACAATGTAATATTATGCAGCACTGAAAAACAGTGGACTTGTAAAACATTACATAACATGAGACAGCCTGAAGGACATTATGTTAAATGAAATACCTCAGTCACAAAAGGACAAATACTGTATAAATGGGGGCAGGGATTAGGGCGAGAATTGGAAAAGAGTGGATAGATAATGAATACTGCATAAAATGAGATAAGGGAAAGAACTGTCTGGAGGGAACATAGAATTCAGTATTATATGTATGATAACAATCTGGAACAAGGAGTGCACTGCAAGGAGACCTGGGGAAAGGGGAATGGAAGGGGGAAGAAAATGTGCAGAAATGAAAAACAAAACATTTTCTATGTTAAACAAACAAAAAGGGTGTTTGTCCTTTTTGTTTATTTGGTTTTCTAAATCTGTATAATGGTTACATGTTTGTCTATGTTGCAGTAATTTGTTGAGTTGTGTAACTGTAATTGTGCATTTTTCTAAGTGTATTCCATACTCTTATTAAAACTTCATTTTTAAAAAGCAATGTCTCAATATAATTGTCAGTTAAGTGGAGAAAGGACAGTCTCTTTAACAAATGGTGTTGGCACAACTGGAAAACCATCTACAGAAAACTTAAGAAGAACTCACACCCCACATCTTATACAAAAACCAACTCAAGGTAGATCAGAAACCTGGAAATAAAACCAAAGACTATAAATTTCATCAGAGAAAAGCTTGAAATGACTTGAAAAGCCCTAATCTACAGCATGAACAGTCTTCCAAGCATAATGAAAGACTTACAACCAGTAAAGAATAGAATAGATGAATGGGACTTTCTAAGAATCAAATTCCTATGCACATTAAAAAAAAATTACTCCAACAGGGCAAGAAAGAAACTTACAGACTGGGAAAAAATATTCGGCAATGACACATCTGATAAGAGACATATCTAAAATTTGTAGAATACTCCAGAACCTCAACAAGAAAAATATAAACAATCCAGTCACAAAATGGGCACAGGATATGAATAGGCACTTCACCAAAGAGGATATTCAAATGGCAAACAGACACCTGAAAAAAATGTTCAAAATCCCTAGCTGTTAGAGATATGAAAATCAAAACAACTATAAGATACCATATCACCCCAGTAACAATTGCAAAATATGGCAGCAAACAACAAATGCTTGTAAATTTGTAAAGAGATTGGAACTCTTATTCACTGCTGGTGGGAATGTAAAATGGTACAACCACTATGGAAGGCAGTCTGGCACTTTATCCAAAAGTTCGAAAAAGAGATGCCATTTGACACAACAATTCCACAATTAGGAATATACCCTAAAGAAACCAGAGCGTCCATACAAACAGATGTATGCGCATATGCGCAC